AACCTTTATTTGGGCTGCTAACATGAATCGTTTCCATTGTCATTTTGAAGATTAACCAAATTCTTATGTCCAATATGGCTCAGGAAATCTAAGAGTTCAAAATTCACAAGTCGAATCAAAGGCAAGTTCATCATAGGCAAGGACTTCACCCTTTATCTCAAGTTTACTTTCAAGGACTTTACTAATTTGTATTTGCCAATCACAGCAGCACACAATCGGGTAAAGCATCAACCTAATACTTCTTCCAATTTTTGAAGGTCCCTGACAAACTTGGTTTCTTTGGAGAATGAGACTGGAAAACACTTCTTTATCCACAAATAAAATATTCATAGGGTCTAAAAGGAACCTAACAGATATTTACTTACAAGTGAACAGATATTCTTGAATTGCTTTCCAATTGTATAAATTTCTCTGGTATGCAACATAAACAGATTCTACCAGATTTCGAAATAGTCAAGAAAATCCTAAAATTTTAAAAGTTTACTCTGTTCTAAACTTATTACTGGTCTCCCCTAGGGGTAGTGAGCAAGTAAATCTTCACTCCTAAAAGAACAATCAGAATTGTAGAACAGTTAAGAAAATGCATGTATTTTAGTGAATGACAGCAAAATAGTAATTAAATAAGTAAGCCAATAAAATAAGCCTGAAGTAGTATATGAATTCTTGAAAGATTAATTGATTTCCTCCACAAATTTTTTAGAGGAAAATTTAAATGTTCACTATTGGACCATACCATGAAAAGAGGGAGGGCCCAATGGGGAGGACCTAGATCAATCAATAATTAATATTTTTGAGCAGCTGCTGTTTGTCCACAAAGACCTTTGAGGGTTACAGATATGTTTCTATTAAACTCAAAATCAAGTTATAAAGAGAAACATAGCCAGTAAATCCAAGCAAGTTTAAGGATTGCTGACCTGGAGAGGTTTAGGGGATTTGCTGAGGAAGGAGGAAGTGGAGAGTTTGAAGGGAGGAAAACAATAAGGTAAAAAGAGAAGAGACAGGTGATGAAAAAGGCATCTTTGGAGACAGGTAAGGCCATAGACTTCAAAGAGATCTCCAAACTTCAGGTTACCTGTGTGGACTGTGAGAAATGATTGCAAAACCATAAAGGGAAGAGAGATGAGAGATGAGAATTAAAGTAAATGCAGGAAAGAGGAACCACTGTTTTGGGAGCACTATTGCTTCTTTCCTTCATTTGACAAGTATTTATTGGGGACCCACTCTTTGGAACTAGAAACTAGTCCAGATCCTGGGGGTGTGGTGGTAACCACGAACAGCATGTGCTTAGGCAGCTTCCACCTGGTGCAGAAAAACTAGTTACTGGAAAAAGACATAAAGGGTTGGTTTAATAAAATGTTAGGAAGGGAATAAAAAAAGAAAATCCTGTAATATTTTTATAGTACACATTTATACCTTTTCTATATGATTATTTCTTTTTAGGCCTTCTATTGTCAAAATTTATTTTATCTGTATCTTAAAATTTGACCTTTATTATATATATATTAGTGCCCTTATATTGAATTAATCAACGTAAAGTACTAATAAAAAGTATGATGTAGCTTGTCACTTCATAACAAATCCAAATGACTTAAAAAGGCATACTTGGGAGAATATATCTTATTAGAAAAAATACTGAGTCTTGAGTATGCATTATAGCAAAAGAAGAGAATTTTCATAGAATTCAGATATGGATTTATTTGTTGCAAATCTCCTCAGCAGTTCATCTCTTCTCACTTTAGTTTTCCTATTATCTTGTCACCCAATAAATATCCACATTCACCTTTGACTTTTCCCTCTCCCAATATTGACTATATATAACATTTCTTTTTTATCTATGTGTGTGTGTGTACATGTGTATACAAACACTTCATTCCTTCTCTAATTAGTACAGTAGTTTCCAGTGTATCCTTCTGCCTGCCAATCGCATAATTTTGGAGCCTGAAGGGAGGGGCAACACCATCATAGTCTTTGCTTCCTAATCAGTCTCCAAAAGCAGGTACTTACTGTGTTTTCTCTAATCCAAATCTTTCTATGGCTTAACACTACCTACTGAAGACTGTCGAGACTCCTTTATTAAGCATTTAAGGTTTGTGTGCATTTTTTCAAGGTCCCAACATACTTTTCAACCTTATCTTCCCATTCATTGATTTAAAAGGATTCTTTGGCCCTGGCTGGTTTGGCTCAGCGATTAGAGGATTAGAGCCTCAGCCTGCGGTCTGGAGAGACCCGGGCTCGGTTCCCGCTAGGGGCACTTACCTCGGTTGCAGTTTGTCCCCGGCCCTGGCTGGGTCGTGTGGGTGGCAGCCACTCGATGTGTCCCTTTCACTTCCATGTTTCTCTTTCTCTATCTCCCCCCCTCCCACTCTATCTGAACAAACTATCAAAAAATGTCCTCTGGTGAGGATAAAAACAAAAACAAAAAAAGGATTCTTTGAACCCCTCTGTAATTTCAGCTGTGCTAGAAGATTGTGATATAAAGATAAGCAAGTCACAGCCTGCTCTTCAGCAGCCCTTAATTTCATGGGTTGTGTGTATGGAGGTGAAAGGACAAGTACATGAATGACCCATCGTGTGTTGAGAGAGGGAGTGACAGAAACTGCTCAGGGAGAACTGGACTCAAAACTCCTGCTATCTAGCTGACTTCGCTTCATCAATGCAGATTAAATTGGTTTGTTACTTAAACATGGACCATTCTTGTCAATATTCTCTACCTTTTTTCATGATGTTCCCTCTCTTTGGAATGTATTTTCTCTGCTTTTCTCTATACCACAAATGTATCTGGTCCTTCAAAGACTAGATCAAGTGCAAAATAATCCATGAAGCTTTTCTTAGTCTCTTTAGTCTCAATATCTCTCATTTAGATTTTCATGGCTCTTCTTTCTAATCACATTCTAGCTTGTATTAGAGTTTATTGTCAAAGTTTTGTCTCATTTTACTATAAACGTCTGCCTCCTAAGAACAGAAACTATGATATATATAAACCTAACAAAAACCTTCACAAAACAGATGTTCAATGAATGTTAACCGAGTTAAAATAATAGGGCTATATGTAGTACCACATTCAATTATAAAACAGAATGAGGGGATTAACTATACAAATCAATCCCCACACACTTGTAGTAAAACCACCACATAATTTACTGTGAAAGTTAACAAGAGTAGAGAGGAGAGCAACCATTATCAGAACAGGATCCCCACGCTTGAAGGGGTTAAGAAGATCTATCCACCAGGGGGAAAAAGTTGTTCTTTGCCTTCATTAAAGACTAATTTTAGGTCTTTTGATAACTAAATGAACACATTGTTTATGCTCCATACACTTTCTGCCCTGAGTCTTGGAAAATACATGAAATTTCCAAGAATTAAAGTTTCCATTAAGACAAGTGCCAAACCAGGAGGTTTGACCTGTGGAGAAAGCCATTTGTCTTTGCTGGCTCCTTTTCAAAATGCTATAGAAAGATATTTACTGTATAACCTTTCTTCTGTGCAATTGCTCATCGGCAATACGGAGACGCTGCAATGTTTCAGAAAGCAACCATGCACTGAAGAATGATCATTTGCGTTCTAAAGTGTTCACAGCGGTCCTTGTTTGGGGTAAAATTTCTCCTTGGAAGACACTTCTTTTTTTCTTTCTTTCTTCAACTTAGGGTGTGTGTGTGTGATTTCCTGAGAACTAGATGATTTGGCGGGTGAAAAAAACAGTTTGCCATGATGGTTTTCAGAACATCTTCCACCTGTATCATCCTTACTAGACTGAAATTTAATATAAATATATATGTGTGCCCACAGCTTGAAAGCCTCAAAAGACTATTTTTCTTATCTCTATATCTGGTTTTAGTCAATCTTAAGTAGTCCAGTTATTTACCAAGTTACAAAAATAAAAAATCTCTTTACGTCAGTGAACTTACACTCATAAAGTTCTCTCCCCTGAGCAGGGAGCCTTTTAAAGATGAGCGTGTCAAGCTGACGGCAGGGGTCACAGCTACTGGAAAATGAGCTAGTCTGCACGTCCCGCCCTCCCACCTTTGCCCCTCCCTCTGGCCGGCTCCCTGCCTACCCGGGATGCGCCCCCCACCCCCACCCGGACCGCCGCATTACTTCTCCAGCCCCCACTCGGCAACCTCGGCGGCCTCAGAGGTCTGGCGCGCGTCAAAGCCTGAAATGGGAGGCTGATTTGTGGAGCATCATCCCGGAGCTCCTCTCCCCCCAGCCCCTCCTCCTCCCACGGCAGAGGCCAAGGGAGTAGAGCTGAGCAGGGGGAGAGGAAGATCTACCCCCATCCCCCTTCCTCCAGCCCGTTCCTTGTTCAGATTCAATTGCACCTTTTATTATTTTAACTTTTCTTCCTAGGACTCGCGGCCCCAGGATCTGTTCCTCGGGAGATCCCGGCTCCCGCGCGCTGGGATGGGAGCGCGAGGGACCTGCCCACAGTCAGCCGCGGTAGGCGGGGAGGTGCGGGCGCCGCACCAGCTGTCCGGTCTGTAAGTTTCAACGCTCCTTCTGGGGAGTGGACGGGGAGGCAGTCTGCATCTCCGCAAAGATTTAAAATGCAAAACACAGCAGAGGTTTTCAGTGTTGAAGGGACTTCTGGGGTACGCTCTTTTAACTCTATCTGCAGCCCGCGGGCTATTTTCTGGGTTTTGCCTGCAACTTGTATGTTTGCTTCCTTCGTTGCAAAGAAGTTTTCAATTTAGAATATTTTGAGTTCCAGTGGGAGGTATTTTTAAGTGCAACTCATACTTCTTTCAAACTTAAAATACTTGTGCATAATTTTCATGTTACAGGACTCTGCTTATTATTTTGTCGAATTACACTAAACGTTATTTATACAGCGCAAGAGGCCACGGCCCCTTCTTTGCCTACGTCTAAAAATAACGAAGGAAAAAATTTCTCTCTCAACTTTTTATACTGCTGTATCATGTAAATACTTTAGTAAATAGATCGCGATGCCCAGCTGGTCTTAATTTTCATCGTAGACGCCGCCACGTGCTTGCATGCTTGCACTAATCTACAGACGCGGTTCATCTCGGAGAATTATCTTTGAGTCTGCTGTTTACAGTAAGTGTTTTGTAGAAGTAAGGCTATACCCATATATGTTCATAATGATAAGGACAATTGAAACAGTTCTGGTTCAAAGCAAATAATTTCTCTGGGATCCCAGAACTGAAGCGCAAGCCGAATTCGTGTTTATATTCATAAAATTCTGCCGTTAGCTTTGCATGTCACCTGGAATGTATAGACATAACCCTAAAAGCAAGGACTGAAGAGGTGAGAAAACGGGGGATGGGGGTGATTAATCATCGTTTTCCTTGTGCAGGAAGACGGGTCTCCAGAGAAGGGGAGGCAGATCAGAGACAGGTGGATAGGCTGGCTATGGTGAGGGACGATGTTGGCCAGAAAGAGCATCATCCCAGAGGAGTATGTGCTGGCGCACATCGCGGCGGAGAACCTGCGCAAGCCGCGCATCCGAGACCGCCTCCCGAAAGCCCGCTTCATTGCCAAGAGCGGGGCCTGCAATCTGGCGCACAAGAACATCCGTGAGCAAGGCCGATTCCTTCAGGACATCTTCACTACCTTGGTAGACCTGAAATGGCGCCACACGCTGGTCATCTTTACCATGTCGTTTCTCTGCAGTTGGCTGCTCTTCGCCATCATGTGGTGGCTGGTGGCCTTTGCCCATGGGGATATCTATGCTTACATGGAGAAAAATGGAACGGAGAAAAGTGGTTTGGAGTCCACTGTATGCGTGACTAATGTCAGGTAAGAATGCAGTGGGATGAAGCAGGGGTCGAAAACAGTTCAGATAAAAATATTAAAGTGTTCTCTTATCACTCCATTTTATTACGAGTGAAATAAAGTGTTTGCTTTAGTACCTTCAGGAACAACAACAGCAAACGCTAATCTAACATATTTTAAAAATCGTTTTTTAATGCAGCTTTATGGATGAGGCATATCTGAAAATGTAAAGTTTCAATCCCATGGGCTAACCTCGAAAATCTTATAACCAGTTATTTAAAAAATGGTTGTGGCTCAAAGGATTCCACAGAGTGCCTTACTCAAAAAAAAAAAAAAAGGCACACATTTAGTTTTCAGTATGAAAAAGCTGCTGTCCATATTTCCAATGTTCACAAGTAGACATCTTTGATCGGCAGAATATATTGTGCAAATGCTAGTAATATATTTCCATGACTTCTCTTACCCATGACATTTTCAGAAGTAATGAGAAAACACTGGTGGAGAGGTGTCCTAGATTTAAAATACATAAAATGAAATAAATGTTAAGTCCCTCTTTAACAAGAATATTTTAAATAGCTGATTACTTGTATTGGATTCCAAAATTAAAAGTTATGCTAAGATTCAGAACTACAAAAAAATAATTTTTAATGGAAATTAGTCCACATTTTTCATGGAAGAGTTTATGTAGAAGTGACTTTATGTTGTGGTTTTCTTCAAAAATTTTAATAGGATAAAACATTTTAATAGGATAGGAACAAGACACTTTTTAGACTGCCTAGCTTTTGCTTCTTTCTCTTATTAGTATTTCAAAGATAAGTACAGAGAACTGAATTTCAGTGATTCTGCTCTCATACTTGGGATGATTTGTCTCTTAATTTTTGTTGTTGTTGGAAGATGGAAAGATAACATTTCTATCAATTTCAAAAATGTTCACCCCGAAGGGAAACACTAGTAATAATACTAGCAACTCTCCCAGGACATTTTATGAATAATATTTAAAATTCACATATGCATCAAGCAAAGCAACGTGAGCAAGCATCATTCTACCAGGAAGCTAAAGAATGAGACCTTTCCTGACCCTGAAATCCTGTGAAATTAGCATACCACTGCAAGAAGTAGAAACCTAGAACTTGTGCATCCTCCCATTTCCTAAGTATCCGCAGTGCCAGCATGCCAAGGAGTGATTTGTGTGTAGAGATTATATGCCACATATTTCAGCTTGAATTTTGAGGGGGGAAAAAACTACATGGAATTGATCCATTGCCTTTACCATCAAGTCGTTATTTTCTTGTCTTAAACTTGTCACAAACTTGTTTCAAAGAAAATGAAGATGAAAAATATAGGAGATCATCAGTACATCAGATATAAAGGAAACAATGAAAATATTGTGTTTGTCAGGTATCTGTAGGTTAAAATTCATTATCTATATTTCTCTTTGAGAAATTTATTGGCATTATATTGGTGAATAATTTTAATATTAAGATACATTTTTAATAAATATGCAGTAGACACTTATGAAAGATGAAATGAAAATGATAAACCTTGAAAAAAATTATAGGTTTTATTTATAAGACAAATATATTGGCATTTCCTATGGGGGGGAAAGAGTCATTAAGCATTTGGGGGAGGGTCATCAAAAGTGATATTCTTTCAATTATTTAAAAAAAAATAACTTTGTAGAGTGCACTGGTTGTGAAAAGCTGTTTTACTGCTAGCTCCTATTTTTCAACAAGATGTGTTCTAAAGCATGGTTATTCCCCTGATGCATTCCTGCTGGTGTGAATGTTTAGTTCAGTATGAGAAATGTTGTCAAAATACAGTGAGATAGCTGATTTTATCAGCATAACAATTTTAGCCTTTTAAATTGCCCTTTTTTATCTAAAAAAAATTGACATCTTTAAGGTTAAAAATCTTACAAGTTTTATTTTAATGTTCTGCTATTTACACTTTAATCTCAACATACAGTTTAATCATAACAAACTATACATAACAAAATATTTTTCCCCAAAATATAGTAACAGAAAAATTTCTATTCTCTCTCAAAGAGGGTTTAAAAGATGACTAATAACATTTATAATTCTTTGCATTTTCTTTCTTTCATAAGTTCATTGTCTCACAGTATCGTCATAGTTGGAAACAGCTTATTGTGATGAATACTCACAAGTATGTCTAAATAATATTTTATCATTCCCATTTTAGAATGGCTCACTTTCCCTTTTATATGGGATAACTCTCTAATGTGAGTCAGAAAATAAATCAACATATTTCCTCTATTAATCAACGTAACTTCCTCTGTAGTAGAACAAACAAGCCGCTAAACACTTACATCTCTTAAGGTTGTTTAGAATGACAGGTGTCCATAAAAGGCTGGGTCTTGCACCATACAATGTTTAGAATTAAATTATTTCATAAAATAAATAGTATACATAATTAGACCCTGAATAGCCTCTCAAGACATTATAACCAAACATTTAAAGATGGTCAGCATTAGACTTCTCCCCAAAGTGTGTATACACTATTAGAAATCAACTTTATGTCCATGCCCCTTCTTTGGGGTCCATTCTTCTATGTTGCCATCTTTTTGGATCATATAACATATTTTGTGTGCAGTTAGTGCAAAAAGCAACTATTATGGTTTTCCATGAATCTTTTTAGCAACAAAAAGGGTGAAAGGGTAATTTGCATATTCCACTTAAAAGCTAAGCTAAAGTATCTGTGTATGTTTGCTTCCTCTTCATGGTGTCCCACCAAAATGCAGTGTGTGTACTCAGTATTCAAAGGTTTGAACATTTTTCTCACTCTTTGTGAGTGGCAGTAGCAGAGAGATAATACTTTGACAGGTGGCTTATTTTCTATAAAATTAGAGAACTTTGAAATTGGGGTTGAGGGAAATACAGGACTAATGTCATTTCTATTAAGAAGACACAGCAGTAATGGATATGTAGTTGAGTAAATAAATTTATGATAAGAGTAATGAAATTTGGTGCTTCTCAACCAGGGGGATAAATCAGAATTGCCTGAGAGCTTTTACCCAGGTCCACCTTGAACTTTCCAAATCAATGTTTAATTCAGAGATACAGAAGAAATACGAAATTTGCAAAAGATCCTCAAGAAAACCCTGTCTGACACTTGTTGATCCCTCCCTCTGCCCCCTTTAGAACACTAGGCCAGAACTGAGAGGATTTAAATTCTTATTAATTGTATGATCTTGGTACAGTCATTTATTCATCTCTACTCCAAATTCTTCCTCTAATAGCTTCAGCATTCTCTAGATCACTTACAGAACAAAATAAGAAAATCGGCAAGAAAACATTTTTCCTTTCGCATGGCAAAACATTCTTTTTCATTAAAAATACTAGTGTTTCATACGCATTTTAGCACTGTGTTTTCTGTATATGAGGTACAAAATAAGTGTTAGCTAATGAATATAAGTTAAAGTTTATGAATGATAAGTACACTTATTACTCAGTACCTTCTTTAGGACTCAAGTCACTTAAACACAGACATGCAATAAATAATAAACATCTACTTGGTAGAAAAATGTTTTTAATGTGTTTTTATTGATTTTTTTAGAGAGAGAGGGAAGGAGAGAGAGATAGAAACATCGACGTGAGAGAAACATCAATTGGCCGCCTCCTGCACGCTCCTGACAGGGAATCAAACCAGGACCTCCCAAGTCCATGGGCCTACACTCCATCCACTGAGCCACACTGGTCGGGCCCTGGTAGAAATTTTCATCAAGTAAAATATGCCTTTGTGAAAGTAAACTATTTCACAAAATAAAATATGCCTATAAACATAAATATGTATATTTATTATTGTAAAGCTTTCACACAAGCAGGCCCTTATTACATGACCTAGAAAACATGAATAGTGCCGTATCCTAGAAGTCTGGAGTAGATGCATGCACAAATGAGAGAGAACACAAGTGCTTGTGTTTAGAATGAGGCATTTGACAAGTTAAGTTGGCTAGTCTTCCCAAAGGCATGTAATGGCCTTTGGAGGAAAAAAATAACAAATTCAGCTTGGACATTTTATCCTAGAAAAATATTGTTTTTGACATTGAAAAAAAAAAAGTAGCTTGGCATGTTATTTCATTATTCAAAATTTGATCTGATGACATTTTCTGACATTATTTTCTTGCAGGTCTTTTGCCTCTGCTTTTCTCTTCTCCATTGAGGTTCAAGTGACAATTGGATTTGGAGGGAGAATGATGACTGAGGAATGCCCTCTGGCCATCACAGTTTTGATTCTTCAGAATATCGTGGGGTTGATCATCAATGCGGTCATGTTGGGCTGCATTTTCATGAAAACAGCTCAGGCTCACAGAAGGGCAGAAACTTTGATTTTCAGTCGCCATGCTGTGATTGCTGTCCGAAATGGCAAGCTGTGCTTTATGTTCCGAGTGGGTGACTTAAGGAAAAGCATGATCATTAGTGCCTCCGTGCGCATCCAGGTGGTCAAGAAAACAACTACCCCTGAAGGGGAGGTGGTACCTATTCACCAACTGGATATCCCTGTTGATAACCCGATTGAGAGTAACAACATTTTTCTAGTGGCCCCTTTAATCGTCTGCCATGTGATTGACAAGCGCAGCCCCTTGTATGATATCTCAGCTACTGACCTCGCCAGCCAAGACCTGGAGGTCATAGTGATTCTAGAAGGAGTAGTCGAAACTACCGGCATTACCACGCAAGCAAGAACCTCCTACATTGCGGAGGAGATCCAATGGGGCCATCGCTTTGTGTCTATTGTAACTGAGGAGGAAGGAGTGTATTCTGTGGATTACTCCAAATTTGGCAACACTGTTAAAGTAGCTGCTCCAAGGTGCAGTGCCCGAGAGCTGGATGAGAAACCTTCCATCCTTATTCAGACCCTCCAGAAGAGTGAACTGTCCCATCAGAATTCTCTGAGGAAGCGCAATTCCATGAGAAGAAATAATTCTATGAGAAGGAACAACTCTATTCGTAGAAACAACTCGTCCCTCATCGTGCCAAAGGTGCAATTTATGACTCCAGAAGGAAACCAAAGTGCACCAGAATCATGACAGCAAGAAAGTTTTTTTTATCAAATGTTGACGCTTTATGCAGGGCACTATCAGACTGTACATCTTAATGCACTATAAATGATATTCATATTCCAACAACAGCACTTTATCAATAAAACTGTAACACACAAGGCAGAGGATTCATGGCTTACACTTGTTTCATATGTGTAGTATTTGCAGTGAAATGCTTAAGTTATGTTTAGAAAATAGTATGCTTTCATTTCTCTCCATTTGAAACACAATTACATTAATAGTAATGTAATTACTAGGACATTAATAGGACCATGAATGCAAAAGGTGGCTAAGGAATGATGATATTTGAAGTGCTTAGTGGGTGAAACCACGGATCTCTCAGTTTCTATTGTTCACTCTGGAAATACAAGTAGAATAAGAGGGGGAAGAAACAAAATTGTACTAACATCTATTGTATATCAACCAATATGTTGCCTTTTCCATGATACTGCACCTGGGAAAGAGCACGAGGCAACAACTGCTTAGCTCTCTCTGCTTCTCAGCAGCTTCTGTTCGTCCACTTAGTCCTTCACAGTGACCTCCAGAGGTTTCCTGGTTCCGCTGGCAACCTATTGGCAGAGCTGGGCAAGGAGCTTAGGAGAAAAGCTAAGAACATTCCTGTCTCATTTTAAGACTGGACTTCCAACACTGACAGTCATCTCCTTCATCTTCTCACTTCTTAAGAACCCCCACAGGGAAATGCTGTATTGAATATTTTATTAAAATACTTTCTTTGTATTCTCTGTGGCTTTGTGATTCCTCTTTCACAAAATTATCCCTGGTTAAAGCTCAAGGAAAAAAACAACAACACATTTTTGAGACGTGAAAGAGATATCCAGTGATGACACTGCTGAGGTCTTGCTCTCTCAGGTTCCCTCTCCTCAAGATTTTGTCCTAAGAAAACTACACTTTTTGTTTCATTTTGATTTCACTCCATTACAAGCTTTAAGGTGTTCTCTAGGCTTTTCTGTCTAGCCTGATGTGTCATGGGAATCCGGTAACTTTATTCTTTGACTTTCCTACCTCCCATCTTAAAACTACACCCCCTTCCCAGTAATATCTGAATTCAGGCCTGGCATTTAAAGATTTAGTTTTATCCCAATTGCTAAAATGAGATTTTCTTTCAAAGCTGTATTTAATCATCCTCAGCTCCTGCATCTTCAAGGGAAGTGTAAGGGCACAAAGAAAAATACTAGGCTAATATACTCTGGGTTTATTCTTAATTCTTATATTCCACATGAGTAAACATCAGAAAGCTGAGCTCTTGAGTAGCTTTTAATACAAATTTTTAATTTTGAGTGTCTCTTACTTCATTATGGACATTGAAATTGCAGGGTATACAAACATAATAGTCAAATTCTATCTTAAACAAAAGACGTGATTCTAACTTGAGGAATGGAAATTATTTATCAAGTTAATGAGTTCATCTTTTCTGAATACTTCTACCCACTCCTTGGAACTTCAGACATACATCAAAACAAGTACTTGAAGCTTCACTTGGATACCTAATAAGTAGTTAAAACTGACTGTGTCTACAATCAAATGCTTCATTTTTAGTAATAAACCGTCTTCCTCTTACCAGCCTTTCTTCCAATCACTCAGGCCAAAACCTGGGAGTCATACATGACACCTTTCTTTCACACCTCACATGCCAACCATTAGCAAAATCTATTAGGTCTAGCTATATATATCCAGAGTATGACCTATTCTCTCTACCTCTGCCACTTCTTCCTTAGTCTGCGCTGGGTGCTCATCACTCAGTATATGCGAATGCAGCTGTATCAATTCTTAAAATATTGAAACACTTCTATATAGGTTGCCAAGGAAAAATCTGTCTTAATAAAACTTTGCCCAACAGTGACTACAGAGGTGGATGTCAGACTCTCCTGTCTTTATTGTCTCTGCTCAAGTGCTATCTCATGAAAAGTATAGTATAGTTAGTGGTTTAGAAAATAGACTCTGCAGCCAGACTCACTCAGTTTACATTTCAATTTCAACACTTAGCATCTGTGAGTTCTTGACAAATTTAATTAATTTCTTACTTTTTTTTTTTCTGGTTAAGAAGGAATTCAGAGTCAAGACTCAACTTGTAAGAGAATGTTTGTTTAGAAAGTCACAGAGGCAGAAAAAGTAAGCTGTAGAAGAAATGGGCCCAGGAAACAAGTTACAGAGGCAAAGGAAGACCCCTGGAGCTTAGGAAAGAGAGAGAGAGAGGCAAGGAAAATACACCTGGGGAAGGAGGTGGGAAAAGGCATGGGCGTGCTTCATAGAAGGAGCCGACATTTATTTCTTTGCATGTCAGTTTCCCCATACATGAAGTCAGAATGATTATAGTACCTATCTCATAAATTGTAAAGATTGAGTTAATGTGTGTAAAGGGCTCAAAAGTGTTTCATTCATTTGCTCAGTACAAAAACTTGAAATGAGGGACTGCCTTGAAATTAATTGTATTCTTAGTAAGTGACTAATTCAATGCATTACATTTGTTTTCTAGGGCAGAGAAAAAGAGCTTTGTAATATTAATCTGATCTCTTAAAAACTCTGCAGAAGAGACCTTTCATCTTCCCACTCTGGTTGCGTTTTCTGATTCCCTGACACCTGCCATTTGCTTGTTGCAAATAGTGCAATGTGTAAAATACAACAACATGTAAAGGGAAACATTTTAAACACAGAAGATAATTTTTAGTTTTGCATGTCTATCATTTATTTGTTCGTTCAGTAATATATATTAAACATCTGCTATGTTTAACATGCACCATCTGGAAAAAATAACTAGGTATGTTTCTTTTCTTTAAGAAGAAGCAGAACTTCATAAGCAATGTGGGTGCTGATTCTTCTCCCAAGTAATCTGAAATGGAAAATATAAAGAGAGAAAGTTTTTGCCAAATGCAGAAGACACACTTTCATCTCAAAGTCAAAATCAAGGTCTATTCCTAGCTACTGAGTAGGAATAGGGAAGACTGTAAGACCCAGAGCTGTTGCACATACAGCTTTCCAGGAAGCTGGGTAAGAGACTAGGACACTGTTCATCCTCAGAACTTTCTGTTTTTGTTCCCTGATTTACCTTCTCCCGATACCACAGATTCATTTTATAATTCTTTATCCTCTTCCACATGGCTCAAGACTTTCTCTGAGGAAAAATCCTGTTGCCTTTGCCTCCAGACACTTTTAAATACACGTGCCCAGGTGTTCTGACATGTCAGTGTCTCTGACCACAGTAACAAAGAAAAGACCTCAGTTCCTAAAGAGTCTACTTCCCAGAGAAGTTGTTAGTCACTTAGTAAACATGGGGCAGCATTTCTCCCCAACCATTAGTTGGAATAATTTTTGGTTGTTGTTTAAAGATTTGGTGTTTTGGAGAAAGAAGTTTCCTTTTTGATAGTAAATCAATTATAGATAAAGAAGAAAAAATGAAAAGATATCTATATCTCTTGGGGTTCCCACCCCCAACTTTTGTCATTTTTAGCATGTTGAAGGTAGGGGCAGAACTGAAATTAGTGTCTCCAAGGACCAGTGCATTAAAATAACTATAACAAATTCTACAGGCTGTTTAAGAGGAAACCAAAGGGCCATGCTCTTCCCATGATCTCTATGCACAATTCTCATCAATGGTGATGGGAATTTCCTCACAGATCTCTGAAGGAAGTGACTCTAATTACACCCCTTTAATAATTTACTGCACATATTCAAGTTTATGAAATCCTTAATCAGTCTTTAACGTCAGATCAAAATATCACATTGGAGGTCATTTTATTTTAGATTATTTATGACTTCATTAGTACTCTTTTGCAATTGTCACAGTTTTCAGGAAGAGTTTCTTGTCTATATTATATGATATAGTATCTATATGATACTCCTTCACCAACTCTAATATCCTCTGGGGTAATTAAATGAGACTGTTACTTTGCACAATGTTTATTTTAATCGCTTGAGAAAACATAAAAATATTAAGGCTGGATTTTCACATATTATTGGATTACTTCAGTTTGTATTGAATAAACATTGAGAAAGTACAGGATAAAATAGTTACATGTAAAATCAAATTTAAATATACTTTTTACTGAAATGGTACATACATATTAACAGATTTTTCAAAAGGCTTTAATTATTTTCCATTGACTTTTGGAAAAAGTCTACACTCCTCAAACATGATAGTCAAGGCTCTTTGTGTTTTGACTTCAACACACCTATCTTGTATCTATCTGGTAACTGTGAGCAAAATGAAAAAGATAGACTTGCTAGAGAAAAACAAGAAGAGGAAAGATGAAGTCTTATGGAAGAAATACGTGAGAAAAAGCAGAGAAATGAATTTTCAAAGTTGATTAGGTTCATCTAACAGGAGGCTTTGAGTGTTGGGATAGGTAGTATGAATTCATTTGGAGACAAAAGAAAGTCTTTGAGCTTTTAAAGCCAAGGATATGATCACAATTTCACTGTATTAAAACTATTTCATTAACAATATATTGGATGGTTCATAGAAAGGAGAGGCATGAAGTTCAGATTGGAGGTAATTGTAGTAGCCTACGTAACAGGTAATGGCAGTTTAGTTGGGATTAGAATAAGAAGAGTGTAAAGAAACAGATGCACAAAACATTGTAAGAGAAAAAAAATTATGAAATTTGGAAAAGTATTTATTGAGGAGTAGGCAAGAGATGACTTGGGATCAAAGAACTATGATTTATGCTGTTGGGTTTTCTCATCATTTAAGATTCCGGATGAGGAGCATACGTGTGTGTGTGTGTGTGTGTGTGTGTGCCGTCCGGGAGACATCTACATAGACAACTCAGTTGAGACCACAGAAATGGATATTACTGCCAGAGAAGAGAGGAAATAATGCTAAATAGAGGCAGGAAGAGGATTGGTTAAACTTTAGAAAGACAAGGGGCAAGAAAAGTCTGTTCCATCCAGGCATGGATGGAATAGGAGAATTTTTGAAGCACTGACGTTATGTTATGTTATGTTATGTTATGTTATGTTATGTTATGTTATGTTATGTTATGTTATGTTATGTTATGTTATGTTATGTTATGTTATTTAGGGGAGAGAGAGAGAGAGAGAGAGAGATCAATTGGTTGCTCCTGCACAACCCTGACCAGGGCTGGTGATTGAACCTGCAACCCAGGTAGGTGCCCTTGACTGGGAATCAAATCCATGAACCTTTGGTCTGCAGGCCAGCACTCTAACCACTGAGCCAAACTGGCCAGAGCTTAAAGCACTGACTTTATAAGGGCTAATTAAAAATACCTCTTCTGAAAATATAATGCAGTGTTTTGGTTCTTAAAATTTGCAAATAATATATATTTTTGAAGACTTCATTTTTTTTCTTTTTTTAATTTTCCCCCCCATCACCATTTATCGACCTATACCCTCTTCCACCACAAATGAGTTGATGGATGTGGTCTGCTATTTTCATCCTCTTCCCCTCCCTCGCCATGGAGGAATGTCTTATCTTTGGAACACCTCCTTCCTCTTCCTTTTTGATATCACTTGTATTAGGGAGACAAGAGGGAATAAGAGAGATGGTAGAAAAATATCTTATGTAACTGGTGCCCAGTATGTTTCCATATGTAAATGCTACCCAGTATGTTTCCATGTTCCCAATGGCATGGTCTCCACCAATGTGATGTGTGTGTATTTTTCTTTGGGTGATTTTAGCTTCACCATTATGTTACTGAGCATCCCCCTCAG